CCCAAACCCAGATGGTATAGCCAACTATACAACTTGGCTATATGGTATAGCTTATTGCTCCCAGGCTATAAACCTGTATAGAACATCACTGTACTGCAAACTGCAGGCAATGTTAAGTACCCATTTATCTAAACATAGAAAAGATAACAGTAAAAATACAGTATTATAATCTTGTGGGACCACTGTCATATACACGCTCCATCATTGACCCAAAATGTTATGTGGTACATAATGATACTCATTTCTCTTTATTGTAAATAAAGATGAGACTAATTCTATCACAGATCTGAATAACTGCTCTGTTTCCCTACACAAAAAAGCACATCTGCATACTTCTTTGATCTATGTCCTATGCCAAAAAATGTCTACTCTCCCACTATATTAAAAATGGAAGTTTTGACACAAATGACATCCTCAGTCTTTTGAAACTCTAAGTAGATTATGTATATCAAATTCCCCTTGGTTATGGCTATTTCTTTGTCAGAGAATTCCAGTATATTTAGGCACGACTTCCCCTTGAAGAAAAGACGCTACCTTTTCCTTAACTGTTTTTGTTTGCTTGTTTAAGTGTTTGGCAGTTCTTCAAGTTGTTCAGTATGGGAGGGGAACTCGTCAACTTTTAAATTTCCAAGGCTTCTTAGAACATTCTCATGGGGAGAGGTTGTATTTAAATTTACCAGTCTTCAGGAAAACAATTTGTTTTCTTTTAAAACATGCAGTGGATTTATTTATAAGACGCTGACAAAAAGTCTTTATATCTATATCTTTATTTAAACAAGTTTCTATAATAGCTAGGAGAATACAGCATTAATGACACACATTTACTAAGCACAACATTGGACAACTACAAATTTAGAGCATAAATGTAATTCTGATATTGTTTTGGTTTTTATCTTAGCACTAGGTATATCTAGTGAAAACCCATGTTTCAAAGGCTTTTGTTGATATGAGGTGAATTATTAACTTATTTTTAAAAATTGCACGTGAGATATGCTGGAATGGGGTCTAGAGTCTAGAGTTAGTTGATAATGACTTTCATGTCTCAGTATTTCTGCTTCCTTTTTAATGGGTAATGTTTCACCTAAGAACTTGCAAAAAATTGTATCAAAGTTTTCTATGCAGATCAAAGTAGAATTCCTTTTCCAGACCTAACAAGGAAAAATATTTGAAAACTGAAATGTTCAATTTCCTTATAGTTAAAAGCCTTGTCCATTTCATAGTAAATTAATAAAGTTAACAATTAAAATACAATATGTTAAATGGCATGAGATCATTTCTGCACAACACTGTTAGAGCAATTTAAATTTTCCAAAGACACAAAAAAGTCAATTTTACTGCAGGATCCCACAAAAATACATAATTAGGAGTCATAAATTACAACATATATATCCACATTTAAAGAAAAAATTCACCATTTGTTTGGAAAAAATAATGGCTCAAATGACTTAGGGGGCCTGAAATGTGGGCTAAAATTTTATAACATATGGTAACAATAAGATATTTGAAACTGTTGACTCTGAAAAATGCATAAAAATATACTGACCTGCCAAGCATTAAATTACATATACCAGTTTCAACTAAAAAACATTTTTCTTTCAAATATTTCAAGCATTACAATACTGAAGAAATGTTAGTCATATGAATCCAATAACACCCATTAAGTTACGCTAATGAACATTTTAGATAGACCAAATTACAAATAAAAAAAAAGTATAAAAAGCATTTTGGAAGATATTATACATAGTATTTTTCAGTTCCTGATTTATTGAGAAATCTACTGTAATTCAGGTTGGTTTATTTAATTTAGGGTAATACAGTGGATGAGAACGTATAGCACGCTTTCCTGTTTTTACTCAACCTTAAAAAACTTTGAAAAGAATGTCCACAAAATGTTTGAGTTCCACCCTTAACCTTTAGTGACAAAAGGTTAGTAGAAAGTAAGACATTTAAATATTATCAAGAATCTAACCTATCTCCAAAATTTCTTTCATATACATTTTCTTACTTGTGACACAGAGTCTCACTAACTTAGCAGCATTCTCTAAGCTGGCCTCCCACTGGCTCTGAGACTGTCACTGCCCCACAGTTCTCATTCCCACTTGGAAAGGAAAGAAGAGAAAATACAGGAGAAGGAGGGTCATGCAGGGTCAAGCCAGAAAAGGAGGAACAAGCCAGTTTTGACAGGGTCACACCCAGTCAAAACTCTCACAAAACCTTGAGAAACAGGGCAACATATCCCTTCCAGGCAAGATATCCTTTACAGAAGAAAAGTTCTGGAGAACTTAAGGCAGCTCTAGAAGGGAAGGGAGCAAGGGTTAAGGCGGCCCTCACAGCACAGCCTGAGAACAAATTACAATGCACTCATCCATGAACAGAGGCCACGGCGGTACAGAGCCTCTTCAACGCGCATGCGCATGGCACCCCTCCTAGCACCGTCAACACCTGCAGCACAGCATGCACACGCTGCGGGGCTCCCACACAGACTGACTTGTATATGGCCCGTCCTGTGAACAGCCCTCAGAAGGTACCCAGTGGCTTGGGCTCCGTGTGCTGAGGACCTAAATTGGGAAGGTGGCCTGTGGCTGTAGGCCTGTGCAGGCTGCGACGCTCACCTGGTAGTAGGGACACTGACGATGGTGTGGAGAGTAACTCTCCTCTTAACTTCACAGAGGCTTTTGCTGCTTCCTGTCTTTTTGGTTGAGACAGCCTGCTACCAACTAATCTCCAAACACAGAGTATTGCACCCTCCCAGAGAGCACTGATTCACGACAAAAGTCAAGCCTAGTTATGGCAAGTAACTGACAAAAAAGAAAACCACTTGGTGCTGAGCACTTGGTCTCCTTAAAACAAGTAACTTGGTACTCAGCACTTGCTCAGTTCCCACATGCCAGCTGCCAATTCTGATAAAAAAGCACCCCTTGTTGGCCTGGGGCATTCCACAGGTACCAAGAGGGCAGCAGCATGACCTCACAATGTTTTTAAATTCTCCTGACTCATAGGTGCCCATGCCACTGCTCTGTATGGGAAAGCGGGATGGCTGGAGGGCTGTGTGACATCAGGCAAGTCACTGACCCATCTCTATTCCCAAGCTATCATCGGCAAATGATTGTAGAAGCGACCCCATCCACCGTCCATGCTGCTGTGAGGATGAAACGAGGTAACAGAGGAAAGCGCTGCAGGAAAGCGTATCTGGACCCAGGTATTGTTTCTGCACTACTTTCAGCAGGATGCACTAGTTTTGGCTCTGTTTTATCATCAGCAGCTGACATTACCCAGAGGATCCGTGTTTACACCTGCTAAGGAACTCTATGAATTGGAGACACTGTGTGTGTGTGTGTGTGTGTGAGAGAGAGAGAGAGAGAGAGGGAGACAGACAGACAGAGAGCATTGTGTCAGGACTTCTCAGGATGATGGCAGGTGCCCATTTTCCTAGGGTTACCAGGAAAGTAATTTCTCACAACAACCACACGCTGAAATTCTAATAATATTTTCATAGCCTCTCCTAATATGTAGCTGTAACCTTACTAAAAGATTTGATCTATATTACACATAACTACTCACCCAGAAAAAGCCAACTCTAAACTATCCATTGAAATGAAGAAATAACAACAGCGCAAACCATCCAAAATGACACTAATCCCCAAATCTCCTGTCAGTTGGTTTTGGAATATGTTTTTGTGCTTCTGCACCTGATGAAAGAAGCATCAGGTATGTGGAAATTTTTTAAACTTCCAAAGGAATTAGAAGCTACACTTTGTGGATTTTATCCCATATTTATCTTCCCTCCTTTTAGAGTTACTCTAGGCAGATTAAAGCCTTAACCTGAGAAAAGCTGCAAGAAGGGAAATTACTTTTAATTTTTCAGCTTCAAGTTGTAAGAGTGTGAGTCTGTATGTAGTAAGGTGAGTGGGGAGAGGATTACTGAGACAAAAAACTGCTGTGACTTTTAAGGTCTCTTCCTTTGAATTCCCATTGTGTGTCACAGAGGAATTAAGAAAAAGTCAATGACTGGTCTTCTAAAGGAATGTATTGCAGAGAAGTGAGAACAACAAGAACTGTGCGAAGATTGGGCTGACGGTAAGCACCAGGAAGGCCAGTGGGGGCAACTGAAGACTGACTCCATCCACCTGCCATCAGTGCACAAACAGCAGGCAACAGGATAGACAGACGATTAAGTTGAGGGAAGGGGAAGAGTGAATGAGTAAGTGAAAGGCTGGCAGGGTGTGTCTGAAGCTGGGTAAGAAAGTGTGGATGACAGAAAGAAAGGACCTCAGAGAAAGCAGTCCTCAAACTGGCCCAAAGATCCCCATAGTTGGCAGAATCTTCCTGTACCTTCAAGAAAATGGTATACAGAGTCATTTACTGGGCCCTGGGGTTCCCTGGTTACAAGGTATTTTTGTGAATGACTAAAAATCTCCAGGCCACCAAGAGAGGTTAATTCAGACCCCCATCTGAGGCTCTGGGTAGACCTGGGAGGAAGTTGGAGTCCTGGAATAGCAGAACCTTTGTACCACCATCACTGAACAGGAGAAACCGCCAGGGCGGAGTGGGAGCTCTGGCTCCAGCACTTGAGAGGAGAAAGACCGGAGTTGGGAAAGAAAGGCTCACACCAGAGCCTTTTCTTCATGATGCTTCAGTACATGAGCTATCTGAGTAACAGAAAAGGCTGCATGGCAGTGACAGCTACGGTGTGACCTGGAAGACCTGAGAAGATTCAGGGTGCACGTGAGTCGTGCTACACAGGATGAAGCTAGGGGAGGTCTGGGAGCATTTCCAGGGCTGAGGTGGACAGCCTGTACCACGGTTGCATTTTCTTAGCAACTCCCCAACTTACAGCCTATCAATGCTGTTAGATTCTGATCCATTCAGTACAAACCAAATAGCTATGACTTAATTGTGCATTGAAACTGCATTGACAACCAGGAAAAACTGAGAGAATCTGATGCAATTGGTAGTGTTTCTGGTTGGTATTGCAAATAAATAAATGTATTCAAATTGAGTAAAGCAGTACATGATGTAATAAAAATTACTTAAACCAATTATAATACAAATATAGTAGGACCTTCTAAAAGCATGTCCACGAATCATGTATATTTAAGAAAGGCTATGGTTACACAAACTTGTGATTTTACATTTGATTAATCCTAAGGAATTGACAGGCACTACACACTGGTCTTTCCACCAGAGAATGAACTTACTGAGTAACTGCAGTTTTTTTCTCTAGAGTCTAAGGGCTGAGAAGAAAGAATTTTAAATGTGGAAGAGATGTTAAGAATCAATGTCCAACTCTCTTATTTTATAAACAAGAAAACTGAGGCCCACGTAAGTTAACAGACAGTATTTATCTTTTAATAACAATCTTTATCACTGATATGAAGCTATTTGACTTCTATAAATATTGCACATATTTTAATTAGATTTGTCATTTTTATAGACCATCTAACAGTTAAATTATATAATCTATGATTGTAATTCAGAACCAGAGTTTCTAATGAAAACTAATAATTTGCTTTTGTGCAACCTGAAGGATTTATTGTATAAGATTTCTAAGAAAAATGGTGAATAAGTTTTACTATAATTTCAGAATGAAAACTTATAGAATCTGGGTCTTAATGAACCAAATCCTCTGTAAAATTCAACAATCTTCTACTTCCTATATAAGTCTTCTTAAAGTATTTCTAATATTATGCTTTTAAAAGTATCTAGTGGCATCTGAGAACACTTACAGAAGTTGCAAAACCTTAAAAAACTGAATCATAATGTAATATTTATTATATACCTTATTTTCTTTTGCATAATCAAAGTTTCAAGACCTGAATCATTAACATTCTGACAATTCTTTCTAGATAATGAGATTAACTCTTTTTTTTTTTTTTTCTCTTTTTCTGAGGCAGAGTCTCGCTCTGTCACCCTAGCTGGAGTGTGGTGGTGTGATCTCACTGCAACCTCTGCTTCCCAGGTTCAATTGATTCTCGTGCCTCAGCCTCCCGAGTAGCTGGGATTACAGGCACATGCCACTATGCCCGGCTAATTTTTGTATTTTTAGTAGAGACGGGGTTTCGCCATGCTGGCCAGGCTGGTCTCGAACTCCTGACCTCAAGTGATCCGCCCACCTTGGCTTCCCAATGTGCTGGGATTAAAGGCATGAGCCACTGTGCCCAGCTGAGATTAATTCTTAACAAATTAACAAGAGAAAAAATCTGTCAAGGTTGAAAATGTGCACTGTACGAATCAGATCTGTTCAGACTTATTAAAAATAAGTCACTTCACAGAACACTGGACCCTGATGCAATATCCACACAAGGAAAATTAGTGAGCACATCAATGTAATACATCCTGAATAAATAATGACATCAACAATAGCCACTTTGTCTAATCCTACCCCTAAATGTCAAGCATTTTGTCATATTACTAAATGACTTTCCAGTGTCTACTACTTGTGCAGGTGAATCTGTAGGTATTTGCATATAATCCAGTTAAAACTGTGATCTGACTGAATTGTAAACAGAGTTGATAAGAGAAGCTTATTGTTGTGGGGCCTAATATCACTTACATTTTAAGAAGACAGTATATAGCAGCAATTTAAAATGCTCAGTAAACTATAGTACAAATGGACATCTATGCTATTTAGCAAACCAACATTCCTTTAATATCTCTATATCATAGTGATACAAATAAGGAAGTTACTTGACCAATTACATATTGCCAGTTTATTTCTTTGATCCAGTTTGACAGTATCAACATAACTGATTACTAAACTGATATGATATGTACTCAATGGAGACTTTTATTTCCATTCTCCTGTTTAGTGCAGAGGAGGTTCTTTGATGCCTTCCTAGCAGCTCACCTATAGAAGTTATGCTTTTTATACCATTCAAATGCAGTGCTAAAGATTTAAAATAAATGCTGCCAGCTGAAGACACATTTCTCTCCTCCTTTCCTTCCTCTCTCCCTTCCTTCCATCATTCACCTGTATGTAAACTCAGGGTACCTAGTTGGTCAAGGATGAGCGTTGCTATGAAGATAACACAGCACGAAAGAGCCTATCATTTTTTCCAAGGTGATGAAAGTATTCTAGGAAGATTTCCAGTTAATGACTTCTCATAGGGAGATAATCAGTACTTTCTCTTCAAAAACGTATTTTCAGTAGCTCACTGGAAATAATGGGTTCTTATTTCAGGCAAGAAATGTATTGTCAATGTTTGCCTGGACATCACTTTCAGACCCGTGAAATGAAGCCCAGGCCGAGGCTGGCTGGAATCTGGATGGTTTCTAGCGCAAGGGAAGATGGGTTGAAAGGAAAGGTGACAGGAAAGATGTGTTTAGCATCCATGAGCAGCTGGGGAGAGTCTTTCCTGTCTCGTAAACGCATCTGAGAAGATTAAGAAAAAAAAAATAAACAGAGCATCAGTTCTTTGAACCTAAAAGGTTTTTTTCTACTAAAATTTCTAGCCTCAAATTCTCAACTAATGAAGAATGTTTATCTTTGTTTTAAACTCACTTCATTTTCCCAATAAAATATTATCAAAAAAGTTAGTGCATTATAAAATAAGATAAAATATAACACATTATCCTTCAATAAATTACAAAATATCCATTCAAAAGACTGTGTTGCTGAATCAAAGAAAAAGATGGGAGCTCTTACCTGTATAGTACGAATGAATGATACAGAGACTCTTTCTTCAAACTCATTAACTGGGGTATACAAATTCAATACTTTGACAATCTGTGAGAAATGAAATGATCAAAGTTTTTGGCATATCAATACACACTGAGTACCTAAATCTGAAAAACTGAAAGGATCTGTGGGTATAGATTTCAGTTCTACTCAGGGATGGTCTGGAACCATAAGGAAGGAGAAGCTGGTCTGCTTATTTACCTTTGTTATTTGAATTTTTACAAAAGACTGTATCAAGGTAATGTTTGTGTAATAATGTAGGAAGCCGTATAAATTTAGAAGAATATTCGAACAGCGTTAAGAGAATAAAACATGAAAAATAAATGTCCCCACTCCCATCCTTCCAGTCTCCCAAAGTGGCAATTGTTAACTATGCACTGAACCTTCTAGCTGCTATTCATATTCTAGTTCATATTATTTTTATTCAAATGGGATTCCTTCCATTAATACCATTCTTCAACTTGTTTTCACCATAAAAAAATATGTTAGCTATATTAATATAATTATCTCTTTTGACTGTTTTTTTAATCATATTTTTTATAAAACATCATAAATAACACGAATAACAAAAGCCCCTAAAGAAATTACCAACTACTTAGAGAGTATGAAGTTATTTTTCAAAAAGTCCAATTATTTCTTTTGTAAAATGGTCATGTCTATTTAAAACAAAGACTTTTCTAATTAAAGTAAATCATTGTCTATATAAGGTAGACATTTCCATTTTCAAGGTATTGTCTAAAGCTGTGCTGTCCAATACAATAGTAGTCACTAGCCACAGGTGGCTATTTAAATAGCACAAAATGAAAATAATAGTTGAATGCAGGACAGTGCTGATCTATAGGAAAATAAATTAAGGACCAGAGAGAGATGAATTAGAAAGTGGGCACATTTATCAGGTCTGTGGGTGACAAAGTGAATCAGGGATCAGTCCCTCAGAGGCAAGTATTTGAATTTTAAAAAGTAGAACCACTTTGTTTACTAACATTTGCTAAATAAATAAATTGTAGGTCTGCCTTACTCTGTGAAATATGCTTAAAGTATATTTAAGGATTAAAGTATATTCTTTAGAAGTTGAATGACAGACAACTTCTATAAAGTTGGGCTTCCTCCAGTGTATTCTTACTTTCCACACTTGAAGAAACTGGGAGGAAATCTCAAGACCATTGTTCAATAGGATAGTTCTGCTTTATTTTTAGCAACAACTTATGCAAATATCAATTCAACATTAAGAAACTACAAATCTTGATTCTGATTATCTACTGAGCTTTTGTTTGTTTTTCTGAGATGGAGTCTTGCTCTGTCACCCAGGCTGGAATGTAGTGGCACAATCTCGGCTCACTGCAACCTCTGCCTCCTGGGTTCAAGCCATTCTCCTGTGTCAGCCTCCCAAGTAGCTGGGATTATAGGAACCTGCCACCACACCAGGCTAATTTTTGTATTTTTGTAGAGACAGGATTTAACCATGTTGGCCAGGCTGGTCTTGAACTCCTGACCTCAGGTGATCTGCCCGCCTTGGCCTTCCAAAGTGCTGGGATTACAGGTGTGAGCCACCACATCTGGCCTACTGATTGAGTTTTAATTGTATTGGGCAAAACTGAAAATTTCATATGTTATAGGACATATGATAAACATTAAGAAAGTCTTCCTTTAGATATCTTACTATAGAATTTGCTAGAGTCTCTATGATAGAGTCACCTGGATACAACTCTGTCTTCCCTACTAAACTGTAAGCTCCTTGAAGGCAGAAATTTTTCCTTATTTATTGAGGCATCTTCCCCAGCAATAAATATGGTGCCTTCAGATGGAGGTTCAATTACACTTGTTGAAGTAACAACTATCTGTCTTTAAAAAAAAAAGTGATTATTTGATAATCCACTCAATTATCAAATAATATGGAAAGCTATTTTATGGAATATAAGCTGCATAGACTGTATACTCCATGAGAGCAGAGACTTTGCTTTGTCTATGTATCCCAGTGCCTTCAATGTTATATAGAACACTGTAAGCACTCAGCAAATACTTGCTGAATACTGAACACATTTAACTGTAATTACCACTGAAATGCATTAATTTCTGGCAAAATCTCCTTGCTTTAAGATTGGTACAGGCATATCTTCTTGGACAGAGATGAAGGCAGCTCAGAGATACAAGCAATAAGTAGAAAACTTTTTTACTTCCCTAAAGATCATCTTTGATGAATGTGAAATTATTTCATAACAGAGAGAATTGCTCTACCTGGGCAGTAGTTAAAGCATTGCACATAGAACAAATGGCTTCTGCATCATCATCTGTTTTCTTTTTCACTTGCAAAAGTTGAGCAGCCTGAATGAGAGGTTCCAGGGTTTCTTTAGCCCCACTGTTCATCAGATTCTTGTCACGCAGCCATTCTTCCAGTTGACTGACATTGTACCTATGAAAAGAAAAAAAAAGAGAGATACAGAGAATGCAAATTTGCTGAATATTGTCAAAATGTCTTAATTTTGGTGTGTGTGGCCTTGTCAGGATTTCTGTTAAAATGACAGGCAGTATTTTTGTTCAATTTTCTTAAATCTCATCAGCTGTGCTTAAAAATTTATTATAGTCATGAGGATTATAATCATCATTATATAAGATTAAATGACAAGACAATGTAATTCTCTTTACTGGAAGATGGATATAAAGTCATTATGGCAAAAGTTATTAGACTTGCTAATAAACAAAATAGAATACTTAATGTAGCTCTGCCAGAAAACACTTTGTAGCTTCTCTCACAATTTCAGAGCTGGGTTACCGTTGCAGGATGAGACTTGATAATCCTTGAAGTACTTTCTCTTAAGGCAAACTCCAAATCAGGTAACTGAATAACTAGAAGCCCCAACATATACCTGTGCTCAGGCCTTAAGGGAAGAGCCTAGGAGATGAAGACAGTGGCCCAAGAAAGCTGCAGGGTGAAGGAAGAGAGGGCCCTTGGAAGAGACAAAGACTCAAAATGGGGACAGAGACAAACTACAGACACTGAGATTTCACAAAGTAGCCAACCAGTGGCAGCGGTCCTAAGACTAAGGTCAATGGGCACACAGTCAGCACTTAGCAACCAGGCAAATAGGATCCAGCATAATATTATGACAGGTGGCTCCACATTCCACGTAGAGCTTATGGAGAAATATGTTCTACTATCTAAGAGGAAGGCATTATTGTCTTTAAATTCACCACAATTCAATGTGAGTCAGGATGGAAAATTTGAAAAGAACATTAATCCTGAGATTGAGTTCCTACTAAAATTTTCATAGGAGAAATCATTTTTCCCACCTCTTGGTGAATATTCTAGCTATTTTAAAATAAAAAATTTGTGGCCAGGCGTGGTGGCTCACGCCTGTAATTCCAGCACTTTAGGAGGCTGAGGCAGGTGGATCAGCTGAGGTCAGGAGTTCAAGACCACCCTGGCCAACATGGTAAAACTCTGTCTCTACCAAAAATACAAAAATTAGCCAGGCGTGGTGGTGCATGCTTGTAATCCCAGCTACTCAGGAGGCTAAGGCAGGAGAATCTCTTGAACCTGGAGGCAGAGGTTGCAGTGAGCTGAGATTGTGCCACTGCACCCCAGCCTGGGCAACAAGAGCAAAACTCTGCCTCAAAAATAAATAAATATTAAAAAGTAAAAAAATTTGCAAAAGAATGAATTATATTACAATAATGAGGTTATGCTAAGGAGTATTGGGCATAAACTTAAGTTCAGCTTTTCTTAAATACAGAGGGAGGATATTTTAAGAATTAGTAAAATACCTATTAGACCTGTTCTTTTTGCCATAGGTACAAAAAGCTATCTTTCCAAAAATATATTTCTAAGAGCAATCAAACATTAGAAATCTTCATTATAATTTAGTAATTTCTTATTGCATAATTAAAACACACACATTAGGAGAGGAAGCAGCTATCTCATCTTTGTGTATTTTTGCATTATCTCTTTACTTCCCCAAAGAAGCAACCTTCACAGTGGAGTAGGGTTTCCTATCAAGAATGTGAAGAACCTGTTGGCAGGGTACAGACAGGAAGCAATAATGAGATCTAGAGAAATCCAGCCAGACAAGGGAAAGTGGGTCCATGCCAGTTCCTCCCTTGCTGCTTGGCTGCATGGCCCCAGACATCAGGTACAAAGACCAAAAACAAGTCATTAGCTCTCCACAACCCTGGCAGGCCAGCCAGGCAGCAAAAAGAAGCTGTTGCAGGTGTTGGTATTTGCTCACCTGATCTGCATGCCTTTACTCCAGGAGCACATGTCCTTCCGCAGGAGTAGGTTGTTCAGGGTGATGGCCCCCACAATATAGAACATCTGCTTGACCACCTGCTTGATCAGTTCAGGGTCCATGCCGTGCTGGCACATGACTGAGTGGAAGGAGTTGAGCTGCCGGAGGATGGAGTCCAGCGTGTAAGTTCCCTCGTCGGCAATACTGGAGGTTCGCTTTCTCAGCCCTGTGGGCTTCACCCCAGACACGCCCTGAATCGTTTCATGTTCCAGCATGCCTGAGACTGCAGGAGTATTTCAGTTGTTAGAGGTGAAGATGTGGAAGGAAACCTTTCATGTGCACATAACCATGTGCACAAACACACACACATTCAACTTTGGAAAACTGGCCGAGGTGGGTGGATCACTGGTGGCCAGAAATTCGAGACCAGCCTGGCCAACATAAGGAAATCCCCATCTCTATTAAAAGTACAAAAATTAGCGAGGTGTGGTGGTATGCACCTGTAATCCCAGCTACGCAGGAGCTCAGCACCACTGAGCTCCAGGCTGGGTGACAGAGTGAGACTCCATCTCAAAAAAAAAAGATCTGGGTGCCAAAATAGTGGGAAAAGGAACTTCACTACAAAAGGGCTTCTGGATTTTAAACTTTACCGAAGGAATAATTATTTATTATTTATTTATTTTGAGACGGAGTCTTGCTGTGTCACCAGGCTGGAATGCAGTGGCGTGATCTCGGCTCACTGCAAACTCTGTCTCCTGTGTTTAAGTGATTCTCCTGTCTCAGCATCCCAAGTAGCTGGGACCACAGGTGAACGCCACCACACCTAGCTAATTTTTATATTTTTAGTAGAAACGGGGTTTCACCATGTTGGCCAGGATGAGGAATAATTCTTAAATGCAAAAATTTACTATGAATTTAAGTAAACTTAATGGTGTATTTTCTAAAATAAGAAGCATAAGAAGCAGTAGCCTTGTGATAGCACAATGGTATGTGTCTTTGGTGGGTTTTTGAGAGATGTACGTAGCAGTCAGGATTAAGATAAGCATTCTCCATGTTATCTGAGCCTCAGAGGCAAAAACAGTAAGAAAGGCAGGGCACTAATAATCATCTTGGAGAAGATGTGGGAGAGGGGAGTGGTATGGGGCTGGAGAGCTGGGCCCTTTCTTGTTCTGGGCTTCCCACAATAGCAGTGAGACCTTAGGCTAACCTCAGTCTCCCAGGATTCATCTTCTTACTGTGGCCCTGCTGCTTCCCTGTTGTGCTCTCTTAGCATTTGGCTTATGCCTCCCCTAGAATGTTTCTGAGATGTCCACTCCCTGACTGGGAGCCCCTTGAGAGCAAAGGCCATATCTGGTTCATCTTCCTACTTAACTGTGCTAAACACAGATTCCCTAGAACTGGTACATTTGTTGTTGCTGTTAAATGACTGGGAGATGGCGGTAATGATTTAGAGTGGGGCTTCTTCAAGGCAAATTTCTTATTTAGCCAGTAGAAACAGGCAAAGCAAAAGAAAGATTGGCTGAAGGTGACCTTCTTGGTATCTGTTACCGCCTACATTTTAGCCGACCTAAATTCATGACCTTTTAAGGGACAACTGAAGAAAACACTGCCATCTCCCATGACTTCTTCAACTTTTTATGTCTCAAATAGCTAGTTAACTGTGGCCTATGAAAGCAAAGGAAACACTATGAGTCCATAGATGGAAAATGAAATTGTGGAAATGTGGAAAATGCAAGGACCGGGAAAGAAAGCGTAGCTAGAAGTGGCCTTAAGAGCCTGCTGATAATTTGCTGGAAGGTAATAGTGTTTGGTAACTTAAAACAATTTTTTAAGATTCATGGATTAAACTGTATTTAAATATTAAACATTAAGGAAGGAAACCAGATATTACTGTTTCAGTCTTGTGGAAGGAGTGATTTTGATGCACCCCAGTCAACTACGGCTGGGTTTCTGGGATTCCTCAGCTAGGTTTGGCCCTGTATCTTACCACTTTAAGCTCCTCATATGAATACTTGCCCTGAAACATGTGCCACTGGTGGCTACTTACTGACAGGCACGAGTGATAGGCAGGCTGCGATGCCCAGTGGGGCCCTGGCCTTACCAATCATTGGCTGAAGGATGTTCTCTAACACCCGCACGAGCTGCTGGTAGATCTGAATGGCCAAGTCACTCAGCACCTGCCGATACTCAGCCAGGTCAAAATTGGTGAGGCAGTGTTCATTCTGGCGAGATGTGTTGTGCTTCATAAAGCCCTAGAGTCATAATGCAAAGTTAATGATACACGTGAAGTAACCTGTCTCTTCAGTTTAACCATCTCCAATCTGATCAGCATCTTAATGCTCTTTTCCCCTCTGTCCGAGGAGCTTCCCCACTACAATGCCAGGACTGACATTCTCAAATGCTGATGTGTGTTTGTTTGCTTCCATCATACCTGCTTCCACTTCTTACTAGCTTTTCAGTAATACCTACACTTGGCAACCTAGCATTTAAATCTTCCCAATGCAATGTCAATGAAATTAATTGGAGGAATTTAAATTAAAAAAAAAAACCAAAGTGAGCGTTTCACTTCTGAAACAGGAGGTTTACTGCCAAACACTAAATTATCTAAAGTACTAATCTCTTAACTTCAGTTCATTAAATATAGTCCTGTTCTTAAATACTATACCCAAAGGACACACATAATCTTGAAATAGCCCAATTTCTACAGAGACTGGTGAATACATACAAAAATTTCCCTTTGCTATATTTTGTGGTACCCATACCATGGTTTTCAGTCAGAGGTTAGAAGGGCATCTTTGGTGTTATCTGTTAAAATGGAACTGAATGGGCAGTTTAACACGTTGCTTGCCTGATGCTGCCTGATAAAGGATTCTCCCCACAGACAAGCATCTGCCTCCTTACCACCTACTTAATGACTGGTCCAAATATGGGGACTGACAGGACACAATCAGTCCCTCTGGGGGATTCTGGTCTGTCGGCCCCATCTTCTCAGGGACCAGGCCTTGTTCATCTCTGTGTCTCCCATCATCTGCCAGGACAGGCCTAGGCCTCTGGGTGCTTGGGAAGTGCTGCTGGGGACCTTCTCTGCTGCCCTCCTGGCAAAGGGATGGAAGGTACTGAGGGCAGTCAGTTAGGGTCATGGGACCTCAGCTGTGTCAGACTCAGACCCAGGATCCCATCTCTGCTCCTTGTGGCCAAGAGAACTTGGGCAAATCAATGAGCCCTAGTAAGCCTTGGCTTCCTCATCTATAAAACTGGGCTATAATTCCTACCTCACAGGGATGCTGTAAGAATCATGATAAATAACATCATGTGTAGTAAGTGCTGTCTAACACATACTAAACAGCCCTTAATAAATAGTCATTATTAATATTCTACATAGTTTTGAAATATTTGAAGTCTATCAAACAACAAATGAACACACCCCTACAAAAAAAAAAAAAAAAAACAGATATTTTTGGACAAATTGAAAGAGATGATCTTTGATCACCTTTTAATGTATTATTAAGCCAAAATTGATTAATTTCTTTAAATAGTTCACTATTCTGATATGAGCTCCTGAAATGCCCACTAAAACATATTGACAAAAAGTTTCACTTCTGGTAACTATTCACTGACCAATGCTTTATTTTTTTCTATGCTTTCTTATAATATAAAAAAGAAACTGTCATTCTCCAAATCACTGTTTCATAGATAGTGAATATCAAACAAAGCAATGAACTTCTAAGCCACCTCTGAATTTGTGTTTCTAAAGTAAGAAATGATTAAACATCGCTTCTTGGCCTTTTGGCTAAGATCATGTGTAGAAATGATTAAACATTTTGTGCTTTTAGATGTTTCCTTAAAAAGGTCAGAGAAAGTATAGCATGCTGGTTTTGTAATCAAGGTTTTCTCACCTCTTCTCCACTGTACTGCTTCAAGCAGTGCAAAAATCGGCATGTGTTAGAGAGCCAGAAGGAGACGGTTTCAAAATCATCACCTCTTTTCTGAAAGAGAGAATAAGTCTAAATTTGTCTTTTCCTCAGGGAAATAACAACCTAAAAAAAATTGAACAGATACCAAAGGACCCATTTCTTTCAGTTGCCATTACAAACAATTATAAAAATAAATCACATTGTAGTTGTGAAGTCTTAACGTCATCGCTATCAGAATGTCAGCCACCAGGTTCATTAGTTGTTGCTTTGCTTGCCATTCACTTTTTTGGCATAGAAAATAAAACTGATGTGAATTTAGCTGTTCCTTTAAGCAGGAAAAAATTTACCCAGCTGGGCACAGTGACTCACACCTGTAATCCCAGTACTTTGGGAGGCCGAGGCAGGTGGATCACCTGAGGTCAGGAGTTCAAGACTAGCCTGGCCAATATGGTGAAACCTCATCTCTACTAAAATACAAAAATTAGCTGGGTGTGGTCCCAGCTACTTGGGAGGCTGAGAAAGGAGAATCACTTGAACCCGACAGACGGAGATTGCAGTGAGCCAAGATCCTGCCACTGAACTCCAGCCTGGGCAATAGAACGAGACTCTGTCTCAAAAAAAAAAAAAAATTCACTCAGCCACAGCTGATGGAAACTCATGTCCCTTGGGGTTAACGATGGGAATCAGAACCAAAAGCACAAATAGGAGTAACTAGTATTGTGAGAAACAATACGAAAAAGAATTTGAAGCACTTAAACCCAGACTAGATTAAAAATCTTGTCAAAGGTAAGATAAAATTTCTGAGCTGTGAATCAAAAGATGAGATGGAGGAAGTCCTGCACTGAGCAGCACAGTCAGGGGAAAGCTGATTGGCTCTTCACCAGGACTGGGCCACCATGGCAGGAAGAAGAGACACTCACTGTGCCTGAAAAAGACATTGGGCTGGGAATACCTCCCAGAGGCTTCATGGCAAACATACCGGGAAGGACTATACATTTGTAAACTAAATCGTTTAGATGAACTAATCCCAGTTTGGATATGGGAAGTCAAAGAAATATCAAAGTTTGCCTACACTTTTTCTCAAAAAACCCTGCAAAGGAAAACCAGAATAGTTTATCTAGGACAGGTAGCTAGCATTAAATGATCTTAGAAGTTCTTTTTTTTTTTTTTTTTTTTTCAAGAAATCATATATTCCAATGACTCTATTACTATATCATGACAAAACCCAGGTTCTTAGAAGCTGTATGAGAGTATCTGCCTTTGGTTTCTTGGTAGTGGCTTTATGCAGTAAAAGTGTACAGGATATATCACAGGGAAAGATGGCTTTGTCATAATATCATTGTTTTTTACATAAATAAAATCAAATTTTTAAGAAAGCATAAAACACCCTTAAATTTTTTTTTTCTTTTTTTAAGATGGGGTTTCACCATGTGGGTCAGGCTGGCCTTGAACTCCTGACCTTAGGTGATCCACCTGCCTTGGCCTCCAAAATGCTTGGATTACAAGCGTGAGCTACCACGCCCGGCCAACACCCTTAAATTTTGTAGAATATTCCCCTAAAAAGATTTTAAGAAAAAAATCCTAGAGGATATCAAATCTAACTAAGTCTTTTAAGCTGAGACAGAATAACTGAGTTCAGGTCCTGATTTTCTCACTAAGTAAATATCTGAAAGACCCAGCTATGTAGTCTTCCAGTGAAGGAGGACTGCCAGTAAATAAAATTTTATTACATTCCCAAACACAGAAAATCATCCTATAGCTGAAGCGCAGATTTGACCAAAAATAACTCTGCCTCTTCCAAAAATCTGGATTACAACTGTTCCTAGTGGAGGCTCTGAGATAAGCTGGCAAAGACAATGAAAGCAGGTTGGGAAACTGTGCTTGTCACTGTTGGGCTGTGGGAGAGTGTCACTAAAGCACCAATCTAGACTGTCTTCACTGACCTCTACACAAATCAAACTGCGGAGATCTTCAGAATAGCCTCAGCTGGATGTAACTGCACCTATACTAAAGAGTTACCAGATAAAGGTGATTAAAACCTAAGGAGAAGACTTCATTATAGAAATAATTTGGCATCTGTTTTCATTAGTGAGCTCCAGCCTTTGCTAAGCTGCTTTTTTTTTTTTAGACAGCGACTCATTCTGTCTGTCATCCAGGCTGGAGCGCACTGCCATGACCATGGCTCGCTGCAGCTTTGACCTCCCAGGCTCGAGTGATCCTCCTACCTCAGCTTCCCCAGTAGCTGGGACTAAATGAACATGGCACCATGCTTGGCTAATTTTTAAATTTTTTGTAGAGACAGGGTCTCGGAGTTGGACTCAAGNTTTTTATTTTTATATTTGAGACAGACTCTTGCTCTGTAGCCCAGGCTGGAGTGCTGTGGTGTAATCACAGTTCACTGTAGTCTTGAACTCCTGGACTTAAGTGATCCTCCCACCTCTGCCTCTTGAGCATCTAGGACTACAGGCATGCACCACCACACCTGGCCAATTTTTTTTTTTTTTTTGAGAGATGCTGTCTTGCTATGTTGCCAAGGCTGGCCTTGAGGGGTTTTTTAAAAAAGTACTAGACATTGCTAGGCAAAGATTTTGATTTAACTGGGCAGGAGGGAGAAATACATCAGTATGGTTCAAAGCTTCCAGGTGATTCTAATGTGCAGCCAGGGTTGAGAAGACCTGATCTAGAGCAATCCTTGTAGGTGGGTCTGAGGCACGTGTCCCAGCAGTTGGACTGAAAATGCTTGGTATGGTCAGGACACTACTGCAGCACTAGAATACACGGTATGTGATGAGGACTAATGAAACCTATGTTGAATATTTCAAAAATTAGTGACTAATTTTTCCCACCACTGACCTATGTGCCAGAAATAACTTTTATCCAATGCAGAAAATACTTGCCCAGAATCAGGTTCTTAACAAGTTTTTGCTCATCCTCCTTCTTGTATTCCAGCATTCCTTGGAAATCCTTTTCTTTCCTGGGAATGTTGACTGGTCGAATGGGTTCATCAATGATCTGTCCTGGAGATATGTTCTCCATCTGGCCCACTTGATGAGAAGTAAGAAAGAAGGAGAAAATGTTTTCCACATAGAAAAGCTGAGAGGCCTCCAAGTTCCTATAATTTTGAATGCACTCTACAACAACTGAAACTTGCCATATTTGCCACTTAATTGCCTCCTGTTAAAATGTTTATTTTTTCTGTTCAAATTAGTCGAACAGATGGCAAAATTATATGGTAATCTTACTCTGAAAGCCACTCCTACCTAACCATAAATTAACATCAAATAACCTTATGTGATTCAAAACCTTTTTTTTAATGTAATAAGGTTTATTTTTAATAAGATTAAATGTCCAAAAAATAAGTGGTTTAACATATTTGTTAACTGATAGTAATCAGAAATGGTCAAACATATTTTGACTTTATTCACAGGAGAAATAATCAATATCCTACAAAGGGGCAGCAGGAGCAGAAACAATTCCCCCTTGCCCTTGGCTCAATGACTTCAGTCATTAAAAGCAAAAGAACATTTACTTCTTTGGAGATTAAAAAAAATATTAAAATTGAATGCCAACTCTTTACCTAAGAGGTTACCAGACTGAGTTTATCAAAGTAATATTTTCTATAATAAACAAGCTGTATTTGATCAAAATTAATAAATCCATGTTAGTTCTTACTCTATCTCATAGAGAAAACAAGTTGAATTCAAAGCTATTTGCAGTTTTTATCAGAAATTATCATAAGCTAAAAACTGTATGGATTCTCTATGTATCTTTGACTAGTTATGCTGTGTAGGGCTGATGGCAAAAAAACAGTTGCCAAAGTTGAAACAGGTATGCAAGACAAATACACAATTCAAAACTGGGATGTGGGACGAATTCACATTAACTTAAAATGGTATTAAACAGTGTTATGTTCTAGTACCCACTCATTTTTAATCTTTACACGATTTGGTATGATAGTCAAACCAGTTAAGTATCTTCTTGCAATTGTGATGACAGAAAGAAAACTTTATGATTCACTTTTTTTTCTCTCTAGGAACTGGCCTAAAAGGTAGCAAAACTTGTAGTTTATCTAAGTGCAAACTGCATCAACACACTAAAAATAAAATGATTTATGTCTGGAAAACATTCATCAAGTTTTAAATACTCAATCTTCAGAAACTCCATGCTTTAGTAACCACTGTAGAGTGTTAACGACAGAAAGTGTCTGCACAGTAGGGACTGACAGAGAACCAGCATCTGTCAAAAGTTCACCCTCCAGGGCTGCAGGAGGGAGGAATGGGGAGTTAGTATTTAACGGGTACTGCATTTCAGTATGGTGAGGATGAAAAGCGCTGGAGATGGATGGTGGTGATGCCTGTACAACAGTGTGAACACAATGCTACATAACTGAACACTTGAAAAGGTGAATATGGTAAATTTTATGTTATATATGTTTTACCTAATTTTTTTTAAAGTTCATAAAAGAAGTCTTGCATTTGAAAGAGTCCACTGGGCATGCTGACTATCCACTTATCTTTACCCTAAAAGTTCTTATTAAGTTCGATAATCAGAAAGCAAAGGACTTGCAGCACATGACCTGAGCTCCTCACAACAACACTGAGTTAAAACTAAGCCTGTGCTCACTGTTTCTCTGGAGTCAAGAGGGGGATTATGCAAGGTGACTCAGTGACTACCGAGTTGTGTAGGCTTTCTGCTCAGTTATGTAACTTTGCTATCTTTTCCAAGTCTCTCTTCTCTGATTAGCATCTGTGTGTTGCTTCCCACATGGAACCTCACATTTTAGGTAACAGGGAAACTTATGGGGTGAGGTGGAGAAAAAGTTGGAAGAAAAATTTTAATGTTTTATCAGACCTCTTTTTATATGAATGAGCCATGTCTTAAACTTATTTAACATTTATTTTAATTTCAGTATTACATTTCTTGTATACTGGATTCTACTAAATATTTTTAATTTAGTTCTAAGTAAAACATCAAACTATATCTGTTCATGAATAAACTTAGTATACAGGACAGTTAAATGCAGTTATGCCAAGTTAATTTTGATTACTGTTCAACTTAAACCCTGTTTTGAAAGAAGGCAGATACACATGTTCAAGGAAGAATGTTTCTCCCAGTAGAAGTTTTCACTCAAGACTGAAAAGTGGCTGTGTGCAGTGGCTCATGCCTGTAATCTCAGTACTTTGGGAAGCTGAAGGTGGAGGATCACTGGAACACAGGAACTGGAGACCAGCCTGGGCAAAACACTGAGACCCTGTCTCTAAAAAACATAACAAATTAGCTGGGTGTGGTGGCGTACAACAGTGGTCTCAGATACTTGGGAGGCTGAGCTGAGAGGATCGCTTGAGGCTGGGATTGCACCAGGGCTGCAGTGAGCTGAGATTGCACTACTGCATGCCAGCCTAGGTGACATAGCAAGACCCTGTATAAAAATAGATAGATAAGTAAATAAAAACTGGAAAGTGTTCATAACAAGCAACTTAGCTAAAGTCGAAGGAAGGAAAAGCAATCAGTGCAGATTCTGTCATCTTTAACAATTCATAACGAGAATTTTGTTGAACATGAACTGACCTTCAATACTTTTTTGATGCTGTTAATTGTTGATGTTAGCAGCGACCTTACTTTCTGATCATCATTCAGGTAGTCAGCATGTCGAACACACATAAACAGGATATATGCCGGTAATCCTGGAATCAAATTGACTGCTACGCCACGTGGCTTCAGTTCTAAAAAAAGAAAAAATAATAATTTTATATAACATGGATAATTTTTGTAAGGCATGCATTGTGAGATATAAAAGCACAGTTGTCATGTAAGAATTCAATCATTCAAGGTAAACAGGTAATATAAAAAGGGTATTTTAATAGCTCATTAAGTAGAAAAATTCTAGAGTGTGGGGCATGTCTATATAGTGACAACTCCCAAACTGATATCTCCTGTGCTGACTTTTCCCTTGAACTCCAGTCTCACTATCAACTGCCTTCTTGACCTCTCTTCTCAGGCACATGAAACTAAGCCTCTACCAAACCCATCTCTTGCTTCCCTATGGAACCTACTTTTTTGGAAGTTGTCCCCATCTTAGTAAATGAGTGGCAGCTCCAGTCTTCTAGTATCCTAGGTTATAAGCCTCATGTTCATTTTTGACTCCTTTCTTTTCTCATACCACATATCCAATCCATCAACAAATCCTGTTGGCTCTATCTACAAAATATGTCCAAATCCAACTACTTTTCACTGTCTACCAGCTACAGACATCCCATGGAGGTCACCGTCATCTCCTGCTGGGCTGCTGCAATAGCTCCCTAACTTGCATCCTTCATTCATCACTCGCTCCCCAGTAGTGCATTTTCCATACAACAGTCAGAGCCATTCTTTTGGAACATACTGGTCAGATGATGTTACTCTTATTCTGAGGATCCTCCACGCAGCTTCTCATCTCGTGCATTTATAAAAGCCAAAATCCTTACCATAGTCCATATTCCCTTCCTCACTCCAGCTCACTCTGCTCCAGTCAAATGGGTCTCCTTGTTGTTGGTTGAACATGCCAGGTATGCCCCCTGCCCAGGGCCTACATGCTTATTATTTTTCTGCCTTGAATGTTCTTTCTTTAGATATTAGCATGACCTGTTCATTTACTTCCTTTGGTGTATGTCCAAAGATCACCTTACCAAAGAGTGTTTCCTGAAAATTTTGCATAAACCAGTACACCTGCCTTCACTCTTTCTTCTTTTTACTCCATCACATCCTATATTTGTTTCTTTTCTTTATTTCTCCCCTGGAATGTAAACTCTGTGAGAATGGGTACTTCACTTTGCTCATTACCTAGAAAATGCTTGGCACATGATAAGAGTTCATTAAACATTTGCTGAATTGATAAATCTGTTAATTCTATTTTTAAAAACCAGTGACTCCTTAACATTTTTGCTAAATGAAATTCATGTTGAAACTTAAGCAACTCTGCACCTATATATAGTACCAAGTTTAATGCTAGGAACATTCAATCAGATATAAGTGCCAATCACATTGCTGTCACCCGAGCACCTGGCAGGAGGAATGCTGTGCAAAGGCTGAAAGGAGAGGTTTTTAGGATTTTCGCTTCACAACTTACAGTGTGCACGCTAATCATTCACCAGCACCCTCTAAAAAGTCTTCTTGCAAAGCCAGCAGGCTCAGACCCAATCTTAAAGGCAGTGTGCTGCTCTGAAATGCTTCTTCTACTCCCATCTCATTTGTTCTGTCCATTTCTTCCTTTGTTAGAATCTTTTCCTTGTTTCTTTTTCTTTTGTTTCTTCCCTATTATTACGCTGTTGTCCTTGACCTAATTAGTTGCAAACCTTTCTAGGTGATTAAGGAAACACTGAAATTTAGGAACCTAAATGGCCTAGAGAAGTTGTGCTCAACCATGGTTACACTTAAGAATCCCTTGAGAAGTTTTTTATTTTTATATTTGAGACAGACTCTTGCTCTGTAGCCCAGGCTGGAGTGCTGTGGTGTAATCACAGTTCACTGTAGTCTTGAACTCCTGGACTTAAGTGATCCTCCCACCTCTGCCTCTTGAGCATCTAGGACTACAGGCATGCACCACCACACCTGGCCAATTTTTTTTTTTTTTTTGAGAGATGCTGTCTTGCTATGTTGCCAAGGCTGGCCTTGAGGGGTTTTTTAAAAAAGTACTAGACATTGCTAGGCAAAGATTTTGATTTAACTGGGCAGGAGGGAGAAATACATCAGTATGGTTCAAAGCTTCCAGGTGATTCTAATGTGCAGCCAGGGTTGAGAAGACCTGATCTAGAGCAATCCTTGTAGGTGGGTCTGAGGCACGTGTCCCAGCAGTTGGACTGAAAATGCTTGGTATGGTCAGGACACTACTGCAGCACTAGAATACACGGTATGTGATGAGGACTAATGAAACCTATGTTGAATATTTCAAAAATTAGTGACTAATTTTTCCCACCACTGACCTATGTGCCAGAAATAACTTTTATCCAATGCAGAAAATACTTGCCCAGAATCAGGTTCTTAACAAGTTTTTGCTCATCCTCCTTCTTGTATTCCAGCATTCCTTGGAAATCCTTTTCTTTCCTGGGAATGTTGACTGGTCGAATGGGTTCATCAATGATCTGTCCTGGAGATATGTTCTCCATCTGGCCCACTTGATGAGAAGTAAGAAAGAAGGAGAAAATGTTTTCCACATAGAAAAGCTGAGAGGCCTCCAAGTTCCTATAATTTTGAATGCACTCTACAACAACTGAAACTTGCCATATTTGCCACTTAATTGCCTCCTGTTAAAATGTTTATTTTTTCTGTTCAAATTAGTCGAACAGATGGCAAAATTATATGGTAATCTTACTCTGAAAGCCACTCCTACCTAACCATAAATTAACATCAAATAACCTTATGTGATTCAAAACCTTTTTTTTAATGTAATAAGGTTTATTTTTAATAAGATTAAATGTCCAAAAAATAAGTGGTTTAACATATTTGTTAACTGATACTAATCAGAAATGGTCAAACATATTTTGACTTTATTCACAGGAGAAATAATCAATATCCTACAAAGGGGCAGCAGGAGCAGAAACAATTCCCCCTTGCCCTTGGCTCAATGACTTCAGTCATTAAAAGCAAAAGAACATTTACTTTAAATGTATCATTACAATCAGTTCAAAGCACCTGCAGATAGCTGGTAGAAGAGCGTTTCTTCATACCACTTGATGCAAAATGTATTATTTTTCACAAAGGCCTCATATGGCAAAGACCTAATTTTCTCCTGCCACCTCATTCCCAGACAAATCGCAAGCAGATAAACTATCTCTATGTAGTATGATTTCCTAAATGTTATTATTATTTTTTAAATAGAATGTTAAAAATTCTACTATGAAGTTGCAATCAATGAAGTACAACCACTGGTTTACAATGCTTTCAGATGTTAAAGATGGTCACTATTGTCAAGGGCAGCAGCTAGAGAAGAATTATGCTAAAAGTAAAAACAAAAAGTCTCCAATTTCATCTCACAATTGAGACTTGAATGGGAAATGCAACGAAAAGTAAAGAGACATATGAGTTATCAGCCACTGTGGAGATATACGCTAGTAACCAGGTTTTTTATCCTTTTCTCTATAGGGAGGGAGAGTGGTTAAGAGATTTAAGCGCAGATTAAGTTTAAATTCTGAGATTGCTGTCAAACAAAATGCAGATCAGATGCAAAAACATTAGAAAGTTTAATGTTGCTGACTCCACGAGGTGTCAGTAGTGTTTCTGGTGTCACTTTGGGCAATTTCCTGGGTTAGTTCTGAGAAGCTAGTTCTGCAGGAAGAGGTTATCACAGAGAACATCAGTACCTGCCAGTGCTCTTGCTTATGTGGCACGGAGCCTGGTGACACACCGTCCACCTCATGCTGTAGCAGCACACACTGGGACTATCAGCGCTGAAATCTGGTGTAGGTGAAGTCACCACCATCCAGCAACACTATGATATCTAAAGAGTGGTCAGATTGTGATTGGACAGATCAGGGCTATGGCCGTCTCCCATAATCTAGTTTTTCATAAGCATGATCCAGTCTGAAAGCCACGGGACTAACTGTAAAGTGTATTCTTCCATACAAGAAAAGAAGTGATTCAAACTGTGTGGTTTTACATAAATTATTTCTGGTGTCAGTTTAAATACAACACCACAAGGACCTCTGAAGCAGCACACAGTGAATCATAAGCCTGCTGCTGCATGTAAAAAACAAAATAATAAAACCCCTGTCGTCTGTGTCACTAGTAACTTTAAGCCGCACATACAATTTCAAAAAAGGGAAACTGGAGTGAAAACAAGTTCAACATACTAGGTTTATCAATAATTACACATATTTGGATTCCATGTAACCCAAGGAACATATTTTAAACCTACTGATTTATCAAATCTATGATTCTATCAGTTATAAAATACAGTATTTTATATAACACTAATTTTTAAAAATGCCAACTAAACTATAACCCATCAACAACTGTTAAGACATGGGAAACACTGTGCATCTCAGAATTTGTGAAATACAATGGATATTTTTACTAAGAACGTTTCTGTTTTTTAAAAAAAAGCTTCACCTTCCTTTTGCAAAATCTCTAACCAGGATATTTTTGGTGCTATATAAAAATGTCAGATAAAATTTGCCATACTCTCAATAAAAATTTTCTCCCTGCCTCTGAATTCCCCCTAGGGACTTAAGTCTTTGCAAAGCTCACAAATAAAATATAGATGTCAGTTCAACATAACCTTGATAGATTTAGCAATATTAACTACTAATTAAAATAAAATGTCAAACTTTATGTAGCATCAGGCAAATATGGTACCTCAAACAGATAAGGCAGGACACCACTGTAGTTTTCAAACACTCAAGAGACCTTGGTGGTTGCTACGGATTGAATGTTTGCATTCCCTCCCATGGGAAACTCATCTTTAATGCAACAGTATTAAGAGGTGGGACCTTTAGGAAGTGATTAGGCCATAAGCGCTCTGTCCTTATGGATGAGATTAGTGATCTTATAAAGAGGCTGGAGGGCCAGGTGCAGTGGCTCATGCCTGTATTCCCAGCACTTTGGGAGGCCAAGGTGGGCCGATCACTTGAGGTGGGTTCAAGACCAGCCTGGCCAACATGGTGAAACCCTAACTCTACTAAAAGTAGAAAACATTAGCCGGGCATGGTGGCACATGCCTGTAATCCCAGCTACTTGGGAGGCTGAGGCAGGAGAATCGCTTGAACCGGGGAGGAAGAGGTTGCAGTCAGCCGAGATTGTGCCATTGCATTCCTGCCTGGGTGACAAAAGCAAAACTCCGCCTCAAAAATAAATAAATAAAGAGGCAACTAGGAAATTAGTGGACCTTAGGTGTGTGCTCCAGTCCTACCATCTCACCTGCTGTGACTGTGGGTCACTTACAGACCTTAGTTTTTTCCTCTCATGAAATAACCAGTTGACTTCTAGAATCCTTTCATGTCTAAATTTCTTGATTCTATGAAAATTAAGATGGAACAGTCACCCCCGGATGAAAATATAGCACAAAGCAGATCAAATTTTGAAACACTCTCCATTTAGCTATAGTTTTTGCTAAAAAGTATATATGCTAGCAATTTTTTAAAAGTCTCTGTTGGCTTTTAAAAAAGTCTCCTTAATTAAATGTAGATTGCAGGAAGAGGCAAGAGTTGTGCTATTTTGAACCAAAAGGATTTAAGTGTGTTGGAATACATTTAAAGAAAAGCATAAGACAACGTTTAGTTATTAGATGATGCCTGTATTTTCTGTGTAACACAGAGATACAAGGATGAAAAGTGTCACCTTGATTCTCTTTATTTGGGGTAGAAGCAGGGTCACTATACTCAAGTGCCCAAGTCACATAAATCTATTTCATTTCATTCTCTAGATATGTATCACTTAATTCAAAATATCACTCTTTCTTTTTTTTTCTTTTTGTATTTTTTAGTATAGACGGGGTTTCACTGTGTTAGCCAGGATGATCTCAATCTCCCGACCTTGTGGTCTGCCCACCTAGGTCTTCCAAAGTGCTGAGAGCCACTGTACCTGGTCCTATAACTCAATTCTTAAGAAGTATTATAATGTCTTTTTTTGTTTGATCTATGAATCGCTATTTTCAAATGCTACTTATAGCTTGATAGCTGTCTGGATAGTTTAACTGATGAGGTTGATTTCTGATTGACACGGCTTAAGATTAGTAATATCTTAAAATGGTCTAACCTGTCTCTTCAATTAAAAAATATACATATCAAAGAAAACTAATAAAAATTATATAAAATAATAAATGGCTTTTCTGTTTATCAAACTTTACTAAAGTATGGCAAAGGAATCATTAGGAATTACACAAAGAATCTCACTAGTTAACACACTTAAAATGTGTTTTTTTCGATGTCATTCTTGGCGCTGCCTACGGAGGTAGCAGCGATCTGCTCCTCGACATCATGGCCGCCCTTAGACCCCTTGTGAAACCCAAGATCGTCAAAAAGAGAACCAAGAAGTTCATCCGGCACCAGTCAGACCGATATGTCAAAATTAAGCGTAACTGGCGGAAACCCAGAGGTATTGACAACAGGGTTCGTAGAAGGTTCAAGGGCCAGATCCTGATGCCTAACATTGGTTATGGGAGCCACAAGAAAACAAAGCACATGCTGCCCAGTGGCTTCCGGAAGTTCCTGGTCCACAACGTCAAGGAGCTGGAAGTGCTGCTGATGTGCAACAAATCTTACTGTGCTGAGATCGCTCACAATGTTTCCCCCAAGAACCGCAAAGCCATTGTGGAAAGAGCTGCCCAGCTGGCCATCAGAGTCACCAACCACAATGCCAGGCTGCGCAGTGAAGAAAATGAGTAGACAGCTTATGTGCACATTTTGTGTTTAAATAAAACTGGCATCTTCCTTAAAAAAAAAAAAATGTGTTTTTTTCCAAGCAAATACTTTGCTATCTGATTATCATCTCATGATATAATTAGTGCAGGGTTAAGTGCAAAAAGTTCTCTGAATAAAGATTTTTAAGTTCTGCTAATAGACATAGCTCACACACTCACATAGTGTGTGTGAGTGTGTGATTTGGAGGCTCAAGTTTTAATGTAATATATGACTCATGTAGTGCTAAAGGATTATATATAAAGTATGACTATAGAATAATCTTTCTGATTTCTAAACAAATATTTGTTTAGAAATATTTCAGTATTTGTACATCCAAGGGAGTAATATCCTTTACAAAGTAAATGTCCATGTTACCATGTTCTAAATATTTCTGAAACTTAATCACTCAACAAACATTTATGGAATGATTGATAAGTCAGACACTATGCTAGGTGGTGTGAAAGCAAAGGGAAATAGAGATGTTTCCCATGCTCAGGAAGCTCAGAGTCTACTATGGAAACCAGTAATTCAAACAGAAAAATTGCTAAAAATATGACATAGTGAAGACCATAAAAGATGTCAGCCAAACTGTGGTACACAGAGGGCAGAACCATAATGTCTGTCTGGGTAATAAGGAAAAGCTGCTCTTGAGGATGTGACTTATGACTCTGGTTTCAAAGGCTGAGCAGGACTTAACCAGGAGAAGCAAGATGGCTAAACAGAAGGAGCAGTTATGACAAGGCCTGGCACGTTGGAGGAATGAAAACCACACTTAGAGTTAAATCATTACAGATTCTTTTGAATATCCTCAGTGATGGGGAATCTTCACTGTTTGAACCAAGCAAGAATTAAATGCAGAATGACAATGAGAGGAAATTATTAACAGTTCACATAATTTGAAGGCAATTCCATAGAGTATCTCAAAATCCCTTGAGCAATGAGAACATTGAAATAAGCTTAGAATTTGGCTTTAGGCTGGGTGCGTGGCTCACACCTGTAATTCCAGCACTTTGGGAGGCCAAGGTGGGCAGATCACAAGGTCAGGAGTTTGAGACCAGCTTGGCCAACATGGTGAAACCCCATCTCTACTAAAAATACAAAAATTAGCTGGACGTGGTGGTGTGCACCTGTAATCCCAGCTACTCAGGAGGCTGAAGCAGGACAATCGCTTGAACCCGGAAGGTGGAGGTTGCAGTGAGCTGAGATTGCGCTACTGCACTCCAGCCTGGGCAACAGAGCAAGACTCTGTCTCAAAAAAAAAAAAAAGAATTTGACTTTAGTCTTGTTCACTGCTAGATCCCTGTACCTACAACTCTTAACGAATAAACATACTAATATAAAAGATGAGATTCATTTGTATATAAATAATAACAACAACTGATATTTGGTTGTTTCTCAAGAATAACCAAGTATAGATTTCGTGAGATGTTTTAAAAATCTTATCATAATTCATATTTTTCTCATTTACTTCTCTTTTTTTCCTCCATTAGACTACAAGTTCTTTGAGGACAGACTCTTGTCATACTCGTCCTGGTATCCCTAATACTAAGAATAATAGTAATAACTAATAACTAAGTTTATGAAGCATTTTTACTATGTATCGCAAATTCTTCTAAGTATAATATACTTATTAGGTTGATACAAAGGCATTTGTGGTTTTTGCCATTAAATGTAATTGCCTTTGGACCAACCTAATAGCTCAATCAATCCTTATAAACCAAGTCAGATGGATGCTATTATCATTTTCATTTAACAGATGGGAAAACAGAGGGATACAGAGGTTCAGAAACTTGCCCAATATCATATGATTAATAAGTAGAAGAGCTAGGATTTGAATTCAAGAAGCTTGACTCCAGAATCCATACTATAAACCCCTGTGCTATACTGCCTAGCACATTGTCTGGCATATAGAAGATATTCATTAGATGCTTACAGAATAAAATCTGTAAATTTTACTATCATGAAAGGAACATTTTTTCTCATCTAGAAATGTAAATTTCTACTCAACAGAGATTAGTTTGCCAAAAGTCAATTTTTTGTTATTATCACTAATATTTGCATGCAAACCACTATTAGGCCACTCATATAGCCTAAAGATGAGTCTTTAGGCCAAGACTCCAATCAAAACTCAGCAACTGTCTGAAAAACATGTTTAAATACCTTCTAGTTCACCAATTTTTTTGGCAAATACTTTCAGTTGTTTTTTCAGTTTACGGACCGTCTTATCCTGTTTTTCAAGTTGTTCCATCAAATCCTAAAGATCAAAAAGAAATATATCAGAAAGATCGAAACAGGCCTTCTAATATGCATCAAGGGAAAACAGACACAATATCACAGAAACAACACTGTTAGTTTTACATAAAAGCTCCAGAAAAGATCATTGGTGGAGCCACCACCTGGCTAAAATTGGCAGGCACGGGAAATGCAGCTACAATAAAAGCCAAATGTTAAAATATACAACGCAGTAAAATCCTTCACAGCGTGATGGACAGCAGGCCCACTGCAGAGTCTTTCCAGTAGACTCTATGTGGGAAAATCAACTGAATACTTGTAAAATGTATTGTTATTCCAGGAGAATGCTTTCTTTTAAAGGAGGACTGACTAGGCAAAAATAAATGTTGATGAATGCATGGAAAGGTGTGTGGGAAGCTTTAAGAATGGTTGAACTTAGGTAGGAACTGACACTGTCCATGTGTGAAGCACTGTCTCTATGAGAGCCACCCTAAAATTAGCCCTGAAACTTAAGAAAAGTTCAGAAGTTTTGGAAATTAAGAGATAAGTTGAAAAAAACAATCACAAAGAACAGGATAAAGAGTGGTCTGCTTACCTAGGAACCAAAATGGCAGGTGGCATAGGCATCTATAAAATCTTGCAGGTGATATAATTTTGCTTATACAGAAGAAAGGGGTAATTATGAATGCTTTATGCAAAAAGAGAAAACAAAAGCAGTACACTTAAGGAGGAAGGTAGGAAAAGTCCATACTTTTTGGCTATTTAACAAAGAATCTACTCAAATGAGATGCATGGTTAAAAACTCAATAATCAAAAATAAAGTGGACAACAGTAGGTTCAGAAAGAGCTTAGAAGGGCTCTGAGTCAGTGATGTGTGTGGTTTGTTATTCAGATTATGGAGAAGAAAGGCATTCCAAATACAAATATTCATTCTCCAGTTTAGACAGGAGTGGATTTAGATACCAGGCCAACCATTCAAGGGAATAGTTGCTATATCTTCAAAGTGTTAAGTTGTGCTTCTTGGAGTTTATGTGATCTTTCAAATCACATTTTGCTTCCATCACACTGTAAGCCTCGTGTTAATAACAAATCAAACATGACAATGTACTAGGACACTGATAGATGTGACACCACTGGCTAAAAGACAGCTGTGGGGAGAAACAGGTTTCGTGAAAGTTTTTGAAGAGACTTCCTGGGAGTGGGCAGGCAGCAGCGTACTCTTCAGTTATACAGGGCTAGAAGTAGCGAGGAAGACAGCAGAAAAGCACTATGGTTTTACATACAATCATCCGTTTGTAAAGGGAAATCCGATATGATTGATACTTCTTAGGGTCATCTGCATATAATTCCTCAAAATACTGAAAAAACAGGCACAATGGACATTTATTTTTGTCTGCATCTGAGGGGAATGCTATGTTTCAGCAAAATCAATTTTAAAATATTTTAAAACACAAATCGTGAAGCTATATATACTTGAAAGGCTCTGATTTGTCACCTTCCATTACCCTTTTATCTTTCTAGTATAGATGAGTCTAATTACATAGGTACAGATAGATGTTTCTTGTGTGATCAGAGGAAATATGCTGTGGCCAGGATGCCATCACTTAGCAGGCCCAGATAAGGCTGTCATTTCCCTCCTCCAACCTCCTGCCTTTTCACTCCCAGCCTCCCCCACACATGATGCTCACAAGTTGCTGCACCTTTTTTTTTTTTTTTTTTGCTGCCAGCAGCAGTGGCAAGAATAGGGGAGGCAAATATAATGAAAGTGAGAATAATGGCAATGTTAGCTCATGAAGTTGGAAAGGCTGGTGGGAAGCTGTGCATCTTCCTTTGCTGAAAGACAGCACGGGGGAGGCCTGTGAAGCCTGTTCACAAAAGGAGGTAGAAAAATCATTTTTATGTTTGTGTTGGTGTTAGGTAGGTGGGCAAGGTAGAGTTTCATGAACACTAAGTCCAGGTCTCCTGCTGGGCTTTAATCTCCTGCTCAAGTGTTTCTTATAGAAATGCATAACCAAGATTGAGAAAACAATGATTTTGAAAACATGTATCATTTCCTGTACTTATGTTTGAATCCATCCTCCAGAATTAGTAGTCAGTATAATGGCAGGAGAAGCAGCTGACCTACAAAGGGTTTTCCCCAAACTCAAACTCATTAACTGGACTCTATTAGCTTAGAATATAGAGGCTCAGCCTATTTTTTCTATTAGCATGAAAAATTCCCAAGAAAATTAATATTGCAAACAAGGTTGCAAGAGAAATGTCAGATCAAATTAGTGAAAAAAACTCTGGAAATCTGCCACCCAGAAGCATCTTTATTTCACCTTGTATTTTACAACAATAATTTAAAACACAGAATTTGTATGCTGATCAATCAACTCATTACATTGTTTAGTATATTTAGCAATACTTAGTCATCGAAGCATTGTTAGTTTAATTTAAGCAACAATATACTTGAGCATAGTAAAATGACACTTCAAAAAGACTTTATGATTCAGAAAAATTTCCCCACAAATTAGTGTGATTTCAGTCACTTTGGAAAGAGCCCACACACTGCCCTCACCCTCCTCCCCCATTCCCACAATGGAGCCACATACAGACCGTGAAAAGAATACCTTTGTGCTTTGCTTCTAATTCATATAAAAGATAGTTGAACAAATGACACTAGAAAACTATTTGTAATCTAAATTATCGCTAATGGGGTAATAGAGGGATAATTCAGATTGTTAAATCTTCAGAGAAAATTCATACTGTTTTATTATAGGTCATAAAAAATGTTAATTTAAAAAAGACACAAATCACCACCAATCATAAACAACTTTTCTCAAAATTGGGCTGGCACTACAATATGGACTTTATACAGAAATGTGAAATTACAACTTTTCAAGGATTTTTAATATGGTAAATATATTTGTCAAAAAAACTGTAAAACTGTAATAAAAGTTATTATGTGGCTGAAAAAGAAATATCTTAGAAAATATTTTTGGGGAAAAAAAA